CTATGTGAAAATAAGTGTATAAATGGAACAGAGCTGAGCTGATGATCTGAATGAGAGAGAGAGAGAGAGAGAGAGAGAGAGAGATAGATGCAGAGTGTGTGCAGAGCCGAGGAACAGGAGGAACAGTATTAAGAACCGCTGCTTTAGAACATTGATTTTGAAACTTGTGAACCCATTAGAAGACAGAGAAGACATCTTCTCTAAAGCAGCGCAGCATGGCCTCGCCCCCTTTGCTGCCTTTTCCCGACGGCGGGGTTTATCTGGATTTGTTACATCACAAACCCGGGAAGTAACTTGTTGTAGTCCCTACCAGCCGTTTTTGTAGGCATTAAACTGCCAGAATTTTAAAAGACGACATCTCCATTTGAATTGAACTTTCAGCTTCGTGACTTTGCAGATATTGTTTATGCTCAAACAGCAACATTACACACAAACTAGGGCTGCACGATATATCGTTTCAGCATCGATATCGCGATGTGCGCAACCACGATAGTCACATCATAGGATGTGCGATGTTTAGTATAGGCTACTGATCGTTATATTTATACTGATTGTTTTCTTTGCTCACACACAGACACGGTGTCTACACCGGACGCGACAACTGTACAGAGATACCCATTTTAAATACATTTAGGAGCAGAGCTACTGCAAGCGATTTTCAGTGCTGGAAATCCACTTATCCTTTGTTGAAACTTCCGCATCGTCGTGGAGAGCGTAGGTCACAGTTGCTTAGCAATGGCAGACGCCATGAAAGCACAAGCTCCCGAGCGCTTTGGAAAGGAGAAAGCGATGCGACTGCCGTTTTCCCACGTGTTTTTAGGCACGACATGTGAATGGCCCCAAAGTCTGTCTACACTGGACGCGACCATTGCATATCATTTGAACTTTGTGTCAGTACGTCATAAAGAGAACGCGGCATCAGTTTACTGTCGGGGATTTGTCGTGCCGCATCCAGTGTAGACAGCATCACTGATAAGGAGTTCATTGTATTTTGTCGCTTCGCTCGCGTCCGGTGTAGACACAGTGACAGCCACGCAGATGCACGTGAACACTGAATTCTGTTCACTTCTGCGTCTATTTGTGCCTGAAATACTGTGCTCTGCAAGTATCCTTGTAAACGCAGTTGCTTATGGCTTAGGTGAAGGGAAACAATTGAGAAAGAAAATGGATGTGTAACAGTATATTGGTTTACAGCAGTTTAATGTTCCTGAGGCTTTCTGTGTTATGAATGTAAATCAAACAAAAAAGAAAAATCACTTTTGTAGCTTTAACACAGATTTATTAGATTTAATTTATACAGTGAAGACTATGCGGTTTTATTTTACATTTGATTATTCAATTTCTCTACCTGAATACTGTTAGACTTACCTGAAAAATATAAGGCACTGCTTATTTAAATTTGTATCTTTGTTCTGTTATATTTAACTATGCTTGTAACTTATTTATATCCTATGCTGATTTACTCGCCTACAAAATCACCCCAATCATTGTTTTTTTCCCAAAAACTATTCAAGTCATGTTTTGTTTTTTTCATAATCGCAATATAGCAGAAAAATAAAATATCGCAATGAGAGTTTTTTTTTTTCCAATATCGTGCATCTCTAACACAAACTAATGTTACTTATTTATATCCTATGCTGATTTACTCGCCTACAAAATCACCCCAATCATTGTTTTTTTTCCAAATAAACTATTCAAGTCATGTTTTGTTTTTTTCATAATCGCAATATAGCAGAAAAATAAAATATCGCAATGAGTTTTTTTTTTCCAATATCGTGCAGCTCTAACACAAACTAATGTTAAAAAAAAGTGAAATCGCATTCAACCACCCCTTCAAGTATTTCACTGCACCTCAATTGTGTTAGTCAACCAGAAAGCTTGAAGGCAGTCAAACACAAATAATGGCACGAATTCAGTAAGGGACCAACATGTACATCTCAAATTTATCAGTTTACAGTTTAGTACACTATTAGCATGGTTTACTTAAAAAGTATAATAGATACATTATGTTTGTATTGTTCCTCACTTAAAAAAATAAATGCATTTGTTAAATTAAGAGTAACATGATTAAATAGTGACAAGGCATCCTTATCCGAAATCGTTTCATTTGAATTTGTTTTGTTCTATTTCAAAACTGTACTGCGCAACACCCAGCACTCTTTCTCTAACATGGCGGCGGTACCGTAACATCCGGACTCTTTGTTCAAAGACTACTATGATTCAGCAAAAATGCATCCGACGAAACTTAACCCGTTCGGAAGCACGAGTACAAGAACTTCACAATTAAGAAGCAAACATACCCATTTTGTAACGTAACCCATGATGTTATTTTTTTTTTACTTTGATTATGACTACGTTCTAGGTTTACTTTGATTATGACTAGGTTCACTATGACTGTGAACTACAGTTTAACACGTCTAACATTCGGCATCTAGAAAATGATCGACGAGAATCAATGCAATACAGCGAAATGTATATAAGAATGTATTCTTAAAGCCGTGAAGAATATTATCAAACCAAATGGATGTTCAATCTTACCTTTTAAAAAAGCTTGTTGACTCTGAAAACGCTTCTGATAATGTCCTTTTCTTCGTAGAAAATCTGCTGGTGAAGGTGAATGCGACTGTATTTATACAAACCCAGGGGAGTGACGTGTACGGTACGTCACATGACATGATCCTTCCGCAGTCAAAACCTCTATTTGTTTTAAACGTTCAAATATGCTTTAAAACTAAAGATTTATATGATGTTTTTAGGAATTACATGTTCTTGTATATGTATTTTAAATGTGTAATTATTATCACATAGTATCAAAAAAAAGAAGTCTCCAGAATATGCTAGAATGGGCTGGCTCGTGGTCCCCCCTTCAGGCAGTGATTGGTTGGTTGGGTTGCTTGTTCGTTTTGCTATTGGTGATTCAGACCTTTAGAATCTGGGCCAGGCAAAGAGCAGGGCTATGTCATACAGTTATAACACAAATAGAATAGTCTGGAAGATTTAATATTCTTAAATCAGTATTGCTAATAATTGTATCAAACTGCAATCCCTTGCTAAAGTTATGTGTTTGGGACCAGCTCTGAATGTAAAAAAAAACAAACAAACAACAACCTAATTATAGCACAGAAATTACAGGCTGTTATCCCCAAAAGAATGTTTGCTCAAAAACATGGCTTGTTTACAAAAATCAGTTTCACTGTAGCTGTGTTTTCTTGAAGTACATTATTTGTGTTTTAGCCTATAGGGTTTATACAGAGTTGTGTCAGCGTACTTAATATAGAACGCAATGTGTGACAGATGGCATTGCTTTGAAACACATTGACCTCGGACATGCTGCCTGCAGTATCTGTTGCAGCAATGTAGGTCATTTTCTCTGGGTGAGCTAGCAGACAGTACCACAGCCATTCACCACTGCTACAAAGTAGGACCTGACTTGCAAATAAAAATGATGGGATTTTGTTGCAGTTTTACATTGTTGGAGTCTCAGCACTATCCTCTGTTATTACAGAAATGTCTAGTGCTAAATTTATTATAATTTTCAAGGCTTATTTCTGTTTTCAATACTGTACACTATGTGATGGACAGAAATCTGTTATTTCCAATGTGACTACGTGTTGCCATGGCAGAAAACAAGCATGCATGAACAAAACTACAAACAAGATGAACCAGCTCTAAATTTGCCCTGAAGTATTGCTGTTACCGCCTGGTGTAAACAGTTTCTTTTACCAGAACTTACTGCAGTGTGGGTGTGCTGTTTAAATAAAATACCATAAAATAATTACCCAAGATGATTAACCATTAACTAGCTTGCACTTCAAAAAGAGACTGTATTGTGAAACTGCTCTTCAAGCCTTGTTTATCTGGACAGTTATCCACTTTGTGGATTAGTATCATTGTGGAATCAGGTCCCTGTTCATTCTTCCGTGAGCTTGAACAGCTGCTAAAAGATTATCTAGATCACCCAACTAAGCCAGTTTCATTGAAAACTGAGGGGTGGGGGAAATTTTACATTTAGACTTATTTCAATCCTGATTATACGTGTATATTGAAATTAACAGCGAGGTAAAGGTTTAAGAAGACAACCAGGTCAAGATAGTGATGGTGTCATCAGTTAGTTTTTAGGCTTATAGATAGGTCTTGTCTGCTGTTACATTTGGGTCTCCATCTTAACCCAATGAGACTTGGCACTTGAAAGTGCTCTAATAATATCACGGATTGGTCAGCATTTATGTTAGTATTATCAATTTGAGATTCTTATTTTACCTCACTGCTCTTCTAAAGTGAAAATATAATTTGTAGTGTTTTTGCTTTTGCGTTGTGTTCTTAAATGCAAATATGTGTTTTCTATTGAAGAAAATGGTATCCAAGAAAACTACAGGAAATACATAACACAAATGTTCTGAAATTCACTAGAAATGTCCTGATTATTATTGCCTGACCCATGCTGATACACGTCACATGAGTTGCCACATCACCAGACTGAACTCAGAAGAGTGTTTGTTCAGATTCAGAGCTTGTGTACCTTGAACTTTCAGGAGTGTGTGTGTGTGTGTATCACTGGAAATGTTCGATATCTTCCAGCCTGTAATTTAATCTGTTATTCACACCAGACAATACAAATACAGGATGTTAAGAAATAAGCCGTTATTATAATATTTATATAACCTGCCTATGTTTAAACATTTCTGCATATTGTTTGAATATCTTTGTCAATGATGGAAGGGTTATGACATCACAAATAAAGCAATATATAAAGAAAAAAGTTTTATATAAAACATCTAACTTTGTCAGAACAAACCAGTTTAGTCTCATATTGGAATTCAATAAGAACCCATGCTTTATTATTATCATTACTATTTATTTATTTAACAACACACTGGCCCCCATTAAAGTCATGTGACATGTTCATATAGGCTATCTGTAGTATACGTTACTACATGCAATACAGTTCAGCCTGTTTTGAACAAAAGTTTTTCTGCTCTGATATTTTCCTGGACTTTGTCTAGGCTTGTATTGCAACAGCTGAACGGGTGGAACAAGATGACGCCGAAGGCAAAATGAGCTGCTGTGCTGAAGCATGTGACCCGCCCAGCCAGTCAACAGTGTTTGTTCTGTTTTGTAAGCAAGCACTAGTGATGGTTATCAACAAAGTGTGGAATGTTCTACAGGAGAGCATTACTTAGCAGTTTAAACCGGTTAGGTCGAAGACGACAAACAACTGGTTTACCATATAAAGTTAGAGGTGCTAAACGAATGGCGTACATAACTAAAGACGAAAGGTAGGATACTGTATGTAACCTTCTTTTTCACTGCGTCGTGTTGTGGACCAAAAGAGTGATCGAAAAAATGGTGTTTATATTGCTGCCCAACTTAAAAAAACACTTAGGCTATATATTATCCCTTAAATTACAATTAAATAACTAAAGTCCATTGATCGCATACATTGGCAAATACATTAGCCAATGAGGTAGCTACAGATCGTCTCCTCATGTAAACTGCTCTTTCCAGGGAGCGTGATGGTCTTGTGAAACACACCGGAGGTTGCCACTGTGGCGCGGTGCGTTTTGACGTGTGGAGCACTCCGCATTTACACGTGTTCAATTGCAAGTAAGGACTATCTACAGTCAGCCATTAATTCAGTCACAGTACAATGGTCAAAACGTGGATGGCTTTCTGAACCGAGTAGTAATTCAGGCAACCGTGATTCATTTAGCAGGTCCTTGCAGTGTCATCTGGGTCATTCGAAGAAATGGGTGTATTTTAAAGCCTTAAATCATTCTGTTAGGCAAAGAATGTCTTTAAATGTTAATGCCATCAGTTGTTGCCAACAATGTCATAGCACTACAAGGTAAAAAGATACTGATATTTCTACAAATATTCACTTGTAAATAATGAGTTGTTTACAAAATCATGATAAAGTTATCCATTTCAAATAGTTCCTTACAGACAGACGTAGGGCAAAAATATAAAATTAATTGGTGAAAAATATTGTCATGATTATCATGATTGTCAGTTTTATTTGTGAAATTGGGCACCAGAGATGCTAGCTAGCTTGAGAACTGTAATAAAACAGCACGTGTTAGTTTTTCATTGTTTTCATATAAGAGATGAAAATCCCCTTTTCACAAGGTAACCCACCTACCGATTGTTTGGCTTTCTGTTGTGTCTCAGTTGCAGTATTTGCACAAAGAAACAGAATCGCCACTTCATTGTGCCAAAATCCCAGTTCACCTTGCTGCAGGTATGTGATTTTTTTTGAACATGTATATGGGATCTGGTTGAGATCTAGAGGCTGGATGATTGGTGTAGATGAAGACTGTAAACTACATTTGTTCAGAATGCAGATAATCCTAAATCATACAGTTTGTTTCATATGTTTCATAGGGCGCAGACAACATAACCACATACACATTTAACACACACATGGCCAAGCACACATTCTGCAAAACGTGTGGCGTCCAGAGTTTCTACACTCCACGTTCCAACCCTGATGGGTTTGGTGAGTTGAACAGAAAGTGGACCACCTTTGGGATGTTTTATTTTATATTTACAGCCAATTTTTACTGCATGTAAAGACTGAAATTGTTTATAGACACAGTACATTGCTTTATATTAAATTATAAAACATTTCTTTGTTGAAGAAAAAAGTTTGCTCTGTTATTTGTGTGTCTTTTTACAAGTTACAAATCTGCCATGTGTTTACAGGTGTGGCACCTCATTGTTTGGACCCTGGAACAGTGAGCAGTGTCACTGTAGAAGATTTCTGTGGGCAGAACTGGGAAGAAAGTATGCAGAAGCATCAAACTATAAGAAGTATGTCAAAACCAACAACGGACACATAACTCACTTTTTCCATTGGCCAATTAAGCCCTAAGATTAAATTGTTTTCTCCTGCTTCTTAAGGCATTTTTTTATCAATATATTAGTGACAACATGAATAGACCTTGGGGTTTTGTGCCTTTTGTTTATTACCTTTGAGGCCTCATACTGTATATGCTAGTGTACTCCTAATTGTTCAAAAAATTCACTCTTATGTATAGTTTATAGTTTATAGTATAATATATAGTAAATATTTATCTTCTGAGAAAATGGATGTAACATCTTGTATACACAGCACGGGTACAGATTTTTTTTTTGAAACAGCTTTTTATAGCTGCACTGTCTAGAATGAAAACATAATCGCCCCCTAAATGATAGGGAAAACTGTAGGGATTTTAAGATGAAGAGGGGATGATATCTTTTGTATGTACTACCCCGACTACCTTGTTTCCTCAAGTAATGTATCAACAAAGCATATCATATGAAAAAATGTTAGCAAAATTGAATGGAAATCATAGTAACATAGACGTTTGGGAGAACTTGATGAAGATTGTTGAATGATATAATACCCATTTGTATTGTTTTAACATCTGTTTGTATCGAGGATATCAGGTAAAAGGAAAACTTATAAAAAATTAAAATATCAAAATAAAAAAGAATGAAAGAAATGTATTCATAAAAATATATATTTTTCTCTTAATCAAATTTATTTTAAACATATTTATTGCATTCCTCTACATTGGCATATATTTAAAGTCATCACAGAACTTCTAGAGTTACAGTTTTGCTAAAAGAAATCAGAAATACATGTCAGTTTTGAAACCACACTGAATCATAAGATTTGGTACAGTACTTACTGATCCATCTGGAACAGTGCTTCAACTCTACTTTAATTAGTCCCAATAACAACAGTAACAGCAAATGTAAACAATATACAGAATAAAATGTTGTCCTCCATCCCCTGCATACTCAAAGGCACAATCTGTGTTTTGGATTCATCTGCTTCATTAAAGCGCTTAACTCCCTTAAACCTAAAACCTCCCCAAAAATCAGGATTTCAGAATATTGGATTGTTTGGGATAAAGTCTCTAAGGTTCATTATGCTAGCAGTTCTCCATTAGTGTCTTGAGGTTGGATATGTTGGCTGAACCTTATTGATATACTGTACAGTACTTTAATGACAGCATATCTGGAATTAACTTACATAAGGAAATAAGAAACATGAAGTAAACTTTACTTAATTTCAGTGCATAACTTCAGCCCTATATGGACAGGAACAGTGCCCAAGACTAATCTAATAAATCTTCACATTCTTTGTTTCCACGGTGATGGCCTGGAATGTGTTTACAATCATGTAGCGTGAGAAAAGTACATAGAGTCGGCGGAACCACAGCAGCTGAGAACGATGACAGAGCATGGCTCTCTGAGGAAGGAAGAGGAGCGAGAAATGAGCAGACTTTTATATGACTTATTTGAATATGACTTATTAAATTCGGTAGATGACCTGACCCAAGATGACAAACGAACACACAAGAGGGCTGAACATGCTATCATCTGCATGCTACTGTAAGGAGCCAGATTGGTAGGGCCAGTCTAGGCTTCGGCAGGTCAGACAGAGGAACTGCATCATTCAGAGACCTCTCAGCAGGATTAGTTAGTGCACACAGTAAAGGTTCAAAGTACTAATGTGTTAGTCAGCAATATAGTCTTTGTTTTTGTGAAGGAGCTTTTCAGTTATGCACTTGAGTTATCAATGTTCTGTATTCATATTCTGCCATTCAGTGTCCGGTCTGGGAATACATCTGAAAACAGCTGGACTGTAATGATAGACACTTGTAATGTTTGGAAGTCATAACCGATCATTTCTGATTATTACTGATCCAGGGTATGTCTAGTGTTGGGGGGTCATTAAGTATAATCAGAGCTTAAGCTCTTTGTTTAAACACAACTGATGACACACCTTGGCACGTTTATACTCCTCCCGTCCGATAAGGCAGCAGAAATCAGAGGGGAAGAGCCAGCTGACCGGCAGCTCTAGGACTGACAAGTACTTTCTGAGTAAGCTGATGGAGTGAAGAGAGAAGATCTGACAACCTGTGGGGACAGACATATAAAAAATATAAAAAAGTAAAACGGTGTAAGCTTAGTGCAGGGTTTCCACATCTTTTCATCAATGAATTGTTGGACTTTTGTAAGGCTTTTACAGCCTTATCTTATTATTATAATATAAAGATTAAATTATTTTATAGAAATTGTATTCACAATAAGCAGTTTCAATGTTGTGATTGTGGTGTTGTCTACATACTACTACAGATCTTTACCAAATAAATGTGAAAAAATATTCTGTAATATAATGATTAGGGAAAATACAAATAGGTTGACTTGCACCCATTTGTTTCCTCTTTTAAATTGAATTTGGTAGAAACTCGTCTCTAAACAAAATGTACAATATTGAAATTAATACTTTTATTCAGTAAGGATGAATTAAATCAACCAAAAGTGACAGTAAAGACATTTATAATGTTACAAAAGATTCCTATTTCAAATAAATGCTGTCCTTTTGAACTTTCTATTCATTAAAGAATACTGAAAACACGGTTTTATTATATTAAGCAGCACAACCGTTTCCAACATTGATCATGTTTCTTGAGAACCAGATAAGCATATTTGAATGATTTCTGAAGGATCATGTGATGACTATATTTAATAAAGTTATTTTAAATTGTATTCGTATTTCATAATATTATAGTTTTACTGTATTTGGATCAAATAATGCAGCCTCATGGAGTGTAAGAGATTTCTCTCAGAAACATAAAAAAAATCTTACAGGCCCCAACTTTTAAATGGTAGTGTATAAAGCGCATTAACAAGCTACTTAATGTGGACACGGAAACCTCCTAATACTGAGAGTTAATGACAGAGTCATCAGAAAGAAGATCTGGCTGATTAAAGAAACACTAGGGCCTAGAGGTTGAGCGAGGATCTGTTACTTAAAATAAGATCTATCCAGCAGCAGATGGAAAACACTGGATTAACAGGACTAACCTGTCCTCGGTATGAGTGGACTGACTCTGAGAAAGATATTCAGCTGGAAATTTGATGTGTCAGATTTTTAAATGTGACGTGTCAGATCAGAAAGCAGTCAGAAAGAACACTGCCCACTGAAAAAAAAGAACACTGCCCACTGAATCACCCTTTGAACACATTTTAATCATTAGCCCACTGAGCATAGAAAACTTCTTAATGTGAAAGCATATCGACCCCTAGTGGTCGGAGTCGTGAACTGACCATTTCATTTGCATCAGTTCTGCTCTAATCTATCTTTTATCCTTATCGTTCTTTGCTTTCAGACACAATGGAGACACAGCAGAACTGTGATCCCAGACATTTCCCTGCTTCCCTGGGAGTAAGAGAGGATTGGTCTAGCTCAGTGGTGGATCCTGAGAGTTGTTGGGTTGGGGGGGGGGGGGGGGGTCGTCATGTGACACACAGCAGCCAATAGCACTGGTTTTTTTCTTCTTCTTTTTATTCGAAACATTCCCAAACGCATGAACTATATCATGAAATATCTCGATTCTCACCTTTATAGATTGTGTTACTTGATCTATAGTGGGTCAAAGTAGCCTAATAATGTAGTCTATTAACTATACATAAAATCCTGTCTGTTTGCTTAACAGATATGGGTGTCATGCCATAACATATTTTTAAAACGACTGACTTTATATTTAATGTGAATTTAACATTGAAAGTTAATGTGAATAAAAACATTGTAAGTTAGGCTACTTATCATAACACTTTCATTGTACAGAAAGAGAGTATTTAAGAACATTTACATTATCAAAGAACATTCACTGACAGTCTAGATTTCAAGCACTCTCAAAAACTCCCATTAAAATCACTGAAGCTGTTTACATCGTGAAATGAATATCTTACTTACAGATTCATACACACATCTGCAGTTTGTTGTTTCTAACGAGAGAATACTCCAGAAAGAGGTATTCAGTCAGCCAGCGAGTGAAGAAAACACCGGCATTTTAGCGATGTCTCATCTGATCGCCTCTGATTGGTCATTGCATTCATAAGCTCAACAGAATCGTGTGTGATTGGTTAATGCGCAGTGCTGTAAAAACGCGTCTGTTATTAAAATTAAAATATATTAAAATATTAGAATATAATATTATTATTATATATTATTTTTTGTCTTTTGGAAGCTGCATTCAAAATCCACTTGGCTCAAAAATCTGAGGGGGAACGTGCCCCCTCACTTTGAATGGGCATGATGCCTCTGCATCCAGCAGAGCATTTGTGGGGTCAGGCACTGATGTTGTACGAGAAGGCCTGGCTTGCAATCTCTGTTTCAGTTCATTCCAAAGGTGTCCGATGAGGTTGAGGTCAGGGCTCTCTCAGTCAAGTTCTTCCACACCAAACTCGTCCAACCATGTCCTTATGAACCTTGCTTTGCGCACTGGGTCACAGTCATGGTGGAACAGAAAAGGGCCTTACCATAAAGTTGGAATTACAGCATTGTCCAAAATGTCTTGGTATGCTGAAGCATTAAGATTTCTGAATACTGAAACTGATTTTCCAATTCTTTTTTGTCTTCAGTCTTCTGAAGTGTCTTTCTCTCTCTCTCTCTCCCATTATTCTGTGTGTGTTTGTCTTAAGGACACACATACTTCCTGAGGTCTGGGTTTTTCTCAGATTAGAGTGAGCTCTAAATCCATATACAGTTCCTGGAACTGTCTGTCATGGCCTGGCTCTCCCAGTCACACCACCTGTGTTGGCCCAGAGCTCAGCCCGAGACACCCCAGTCCCAGCGCCAACTTCACCACTGCTTCCTCTCTCTCTCCTTCTCACACAGACAAATAAATTAATCTACAACAGCACAGAAGAGACAGATGTCTGAAAAGATTGGCTCTGTTTCTTATAACCAAACATTGCTCAACAACTAAACGCTGTTTTTTCGGACTGTTTTACTGCGAGCCTTCATGCAAGTCATTGCCTCACACCAGCACAAAGCTTTATCTCCTGTCGTCTGGATGCCTCCATCACCCGTATTTATGATTTAAGCTTTGATACCCTAGTGCAGAAGAAAGGATTAGGATTCATACTGTGTGAAGGTATCAGGCAAAGTCCTGCTTCACACTGAATTGCTGCAACCACTCAAACAACAAGCTGTCTGATCCAAGACATCCGAGGATCTGGGTTTCCTCTCCTTCTGAACTGCTTCAGTGTTTTGCTGCTCTGCTGGAATGCGTGTAATGTGAGCAATTATTTGTAGTAATGGTATTATACCTAGATACAGTTGAGTGCATATGTTTGCATACCCCTTTCGTCGTCTATAAACCCCTCGCAATTTATACAAAGAGATATATGTATTTTGTTTTGTTTTTAATTAATAATCATTAATTTTTGTTTTTATTTAATACTTAATAGATATTTCCAAGAAGGAAAAATAATAACAATTTGTGTAAATTAAGATATTTAGTCTTGTGGAACATACACTACCATTCAAAAGTTTGGGATCGATAACTTTTTAATATTTTTTGGAAAAGGTCTCATGTTCACCAAAGAAAAAATTTATTTGATCAAAAAATTCAGTAAAACTGTAATATTGTGAAATATTATTATAATTAAAAACAAATTATGCACTCAACTGTATATACACATACAGTATATGTGTGTATTTCTGTTGGTCTGATGTTATGAATGTAATGTTAGTTTAATTTATTGTCCATTCGGAAATTATTTTTGTATCTGTGGCAACTCTTCAGTGATCAACAACAATAATGAACAAAAACAAACATCAACAGGTTACAACACATTACAAATAAATACAACCATCATCAAACAACATCCCTCTCACAACAACAGAATCACTGCCATAGATGTAAAATGACAACTGTGATATCACATCTGTGATGTGTAGTCCTTCTAGGAGAATGTGCACTAGGGGAAGACAGTCTTCAGGACAGGATGTTTTTCTTTCTTTGTCTGACTGACTTCGCATTCAACTTGCATGCCACACTGCATGCCAAATATAAGTGTATATTAAGGAGTCAGATTTGACATGAAATATCTTTACACTATCCTACTGCAAGACCATATGTATTTCTAGGCCTGGCTGCTTTATGTTGGGTATATCTGGTTTGGTAATAGTCTAGCTTGTGGACTAACACAGCCATGCTGTTTACCAGCAAAATCTAGATGGTAAAGCTGTTGAATGAAGGATGAATGAAGCTCTTTGCCATTTAATCTGGACCCACTCTAATAGAAATAACTCAGGTAATGTTAAATAAGCAATATTAGGCTGTTTCCTGAAATTGTAACAAGACACATCAAACTGCTGGCCTAATGTCAGTCTCTGTTCTTGTTGAAGCAATTGTAACTGTTGCTTTATGTAGGGGAATTTTCAGAATTTAGTACAACGGGACTGTTTTTTTAACAGTCTAATCTACTTTGATTAATTGCTAACATCCTGTTGTTGTGGAGTTAATTCTTGCATTATGACACCAGCACAAGGTTACCTGAGGGTCTTGTAAATGGTAATATGATTGACATGTCCACTCACACCTCTGCCATCAAATGTCAGTACCTGCGGAAACACACCGCATAGAACAGAGAATAATAAATGCAACAGTTAGTTTACATTTGTTAATGCACTAGGCATCATGAACAATACTTTAACCTCACTTTGGGTTGAGTAAGACTTTTTGAAAGAAATCAATACTGTTGTTCAGCAAGGATGCATTAAATTTCAAAAGTGACAGTAAATACATTTATAATGTTACAAAAGATTTATATTTCAAATAAATGTTGCTCTTTTGAACTTTCCATTCATCAAAAAATCCTAAAAAATATTAAGTTTTCAACAAAAATATCAAGTAGCACAACTGTTTTCAACACTGATAATAATAATAAATGTTTCTTGAGCATTAATTCAGCATATTAAAGTGATTTCTGATGGATCATGTGACACGGAAGACTGCAGTAATGGCTACTGCAAATTCATCTTTGTGATCATAGAATTAGTTACCTTTTAAATATATTAAAATAGAAAACGGTTGCTTTAACTGCATTTATGATCAAATAAGTGCAGCCTTGGTGAGCATATGAGACAAAAAATCTTACCGACCTCAAAATTTTGAACGGTAGTATATATTACTAAATTGTAATATTTCAAGGTCAGTGACAATGTTCTTGCAAGTGCAATAGTTCTGCAATATAGTGGAAAGATCAGGTGGAACTTTCTGTCGCATCCCACAGAACAGAGTCTAGTATGCAAGAACTTAACCTTGCAGGCTTTTTCCCCGTCTGCATTCTTTCTTCCCACTGAAGAACAGGGGTGAAAGGGTGAACACAAGATGAAAAAAACAAGCAAAAGAAAAGAACTTGAAAATAAGATGAAACACAAGCCAAAGAAAAGCAGTAATTTGAAGACTCAGCAGTGGATTTGGTGGGAGTTGTTGCCAGAACTGTGTGGAAGCATTTCTATCTGTGTATCATCTGCTGTGTCACCAGACGAGGGATTCTGTCTTTGGGAATGGGTGCTTTCCAAGCGGCTGCTGCACATAGCTTGAGAGTGCCAAGGGTGGAGGAAAATATGGTTGACAAAATAATAGATTGTGGCAGGTATGTAGATTGTTGCCAAACACGAGGCGGGTGAGTCAGCTTTCAGAAGAGGCTACTGGCATGAGCGAGAGGGAGGAGAAATCCAAATGCTGTGAACAGCAGAGAGACAGAGTATAAATATGTTTACATGCATGGTAATAATCCAGCTCCAGCGACATTTTACAAAGTGCCAGTCTGCCCAAATTATACAAGACACGGTGTGAAATTTAAAATTTAAAGAATAAAACCTTTCAGAGTATACATACAACACCAAGGCCAGTTGTAGTTTTACATGTACGTGCTGAACGAAGCCAAGCTACAATTCCATTATCTAGGTCTGTTAGTTTGGCTTCACATAAACAAAAATCGAACTGGTATGGGTTCAGTTGCATGACAGCGTTTACATAACCTTTTAAAATGATAAATCATTGCTTCAGTCCGACTGAAATCTAACTTTAAAGTGCATGCAAACACACTTACTGACATTTGCCTGTGAGAAGAACACAAGATAAACGAGTCTGCACACACATATACATTTATGTAAAGCACAAGGAGTCAAAGACTTTTTGAATCAGAATCAAAGTCTGGTACAATCAGCAGTAATGCACATCTGTTTAAACCAGAGGAGGCTATTTGTGTAATAGTGCCCTACCCACAATCCTCTGCTCCTTGTGAGAGAGCGGTAAAGCGCACAAGATGGCCACCACTCTTTTCCCACACGTTTGAAAGCCAAAGTCAAATTGGAGTGTAATGTTATAGCTCAACATCAGTATTTCCATCCCCACAGCCACTTCGGCTTAAATCAAACATGAAATTAAGGGTGCAGCGGAACCGTATGCAGATCCAGTCTGTATTAGTGCGTGTGCGGTTTAAAGTCGGACTGGTGTGTTGGTGGAGCTGGGAGTCTGGCAGAAAAGATATCAGCTGATGTTTGCATGTACATTTATGGATGATAGTCGATGGAGGTAAACCAAGTCATGTCGCAAGAACATTGTTTTGTTTTCTGGCTTGTTTATGCTAGTCCTCTGTGCTTGGCGTTCTTTGGGAATTTCATGGCATGCGGGCTGAGAAAGAGGGAGAGGGAAGGAGAAAGAAAACATTAAACAGTACACGTGGGGAAAAGAGAGGAGGTGCAAGAGGGAAAAACATTTGTTCAAATCTTGATTTCAATTTTTTTGGGGATCTTTTCTGGAAGTCCTTAGTGCAGGCTGATAGATATCTCTGCATTGGCTTGCCAGCAGTGACCCTGGGGAACTTCATGTGTCTGCTTTAGCAGAGTTCAGCGGTATTATGGGATATTACAGCATGTGTAATTAGGGCTAAATACAGGGGGCCAATGAAAAGCTCGCCTGAGTGAATTAATCTTACTGATACGGTCTCACTCAAAGCAACCTCAAGAGAAAGACTCAAGCTATCAGATAGGAAAGTTAGCACAGTGGAAAGCTGGAGTCTCTGCAGAAAATACTCAGATCAGTGGTTCTCAACCTCTTTGACTCATTGTCCAACACATTTTTCTAGGCCCCCCACAATATAGGATAAGATATTTCTGCAATAATTATGACAAGACTGCTTGTTTTAATTTTTTTTTATAAACAGAAACTGGGAAACAAACAGAAACAATAGTAATTTAGTGGTAAGAAAAAAATAATGTATATATGTTGTTCAAATCTTGATTTCAATTTTTTTGGGGATCTTTTCTGGAAGTCCTTAGTGCAGGCTGATAGATATCTCTGCATTGGCTTGCCAGCAGTGACCCTGGGGAACTTCATGTGTCTGCTTTAGCAGAGTTCAGCGGTATTATGGGATATTACAGCATGTGTAATTAGGGCTAAATACAGGGGGCCAATGAAAAGCTCGCCTGAGTGAATTAATCTTACTGATACGGTCTCACTCAAAGCAACCTCAAGAGAAAGACTCAAGCTATCAGATAGGAAAGTTAGCACAGTGGAAAGCTGGAGTCTCTGCAGAAAATACTCAGATCAGTGGTTCTCAACCTCTTTGACTCATTGTCCAACACATTTTTCCAGGCCCCCCACAATATAGGATAAGATATTTCTGCAATAATTATGACAAGGCTGCTTGTTTTAATTTTTTTTTATAAACAGAAACTGGGAAACAAACAGAAACAATAGTAATTTAGTGATAAGAAAAAAATAATGTATATATGTTTCTTATTTTAAGTAAGTTAGATTATTTTATTCATTAATATAATTCATTATAATTGTATTAAAAATCATTTGAATAATTTTAAGTCATCCTGCAGGAAGTTGAGATCTGACTAAACCTCCATCCGATCCAGGGGCAGTGTTTTATGCTGAAGTAAAAACCTTATTTTAACACTTATTTGGAGAGGTCTAAAAATAAGAGAGACTATTGTATATTTATTTATTATATATTTATCTTTTGGTGTGTGTGCTAAATAAAGTTCATCTGCAACCTTGTGTTCTCTTATCAGTCTCTTTTTTGTCTAAGTGCAGATTCATTCTCAATGCATTATTAATAATAACCAAAATAAACATTTTAGATATCATTTGGGAACATTCTACGAAAAAGCACAGACTTGTTTCCTGTTTCTTAAGAATTTTTAGTGCACTCTACTCCTTCATAGATTTAAGCATCTGACTGGTCTCAACTTCACAACATGTCAAACTGCTCTGACGTGCTCTAGAGGGATTTCAGGAGGTTTAATTCGTACACATACATACAGTCTTTTGGATAAGGTGGTCCTGAACGGATAACATTCTAGAGGTTTCCTACCACACTTATGCTGTAGTTTCGGATGTGTTTGAGGATCAGAGAGGAGATCAGTGCAGTGCTCCACTGGACCGCTGGGTCATCTGGAAGCTCTCTGCAAGAACAAAAGGAGAGGACGGAAAAACATAAAAGCATTATATGGAGATTTCACACACTTTTATTACAGAGAAAAAGAAAGAAACGGAGACATGTAAGCAACTAGATTTTTACAATTTTGTGTTCACTTATGGCCATCATTTCTGTTTCTACTGTAAAGTAAAAAACAAACAATTGTGCAATGAAGTGAAAAATAAATTTACATTTGCAAATCGTAAGCTGCAATTGTGAGATATGAAGTGACTGCAAAAAAATCAAGTCACATTGGGACAAAGTCTCAATTACCATATTTTTTGTGAGAAACAGGCTATCTCTATCAACGTTCATCAATTTTATCATCTGGGTGGAAATTGTAAGTCACAGTGCTTAGAAAATGCCACATCATTTGAAGTATCATCCATGTCTTTGCACAAATGGTGCAGGACAAATTACACACCAAAGTTTAATCCTAAGGGTTACAGGTTTGCTTACCATAAGTTCACCATAATTCCCCACCATAAGTATGAGAAATGGTAAAAGTGACTTTTGACTTAACAAGCACAACTAATGAGTAGCATTATATACAATATTAAGGACAAATAATGGAAGAGGTTTGTATAGGTACTGCGCTGTCCATGTTCTTTGTGTAAGTTTGATTTGGACTGAGCAAAAAGCATTTATTTGCCAACACACACATATTTGCAACAAAACAGCAAGGTCTTGGAAGGGCAGCGAGCGTCCCTCTATCTGATTTACTGCCACAGTCTCACTACCGCTCAGCTGGAATGCATCCCACAGTCCTCTCTGAAGTCTGGGATCAAAGGTCACCCAGGCTTTTCCCTCTCATTCATCTGTAACTACAGCTCAGGGAAAACAAGGGCCATGCATCAATCTCTCTCTCTCTCTTTCTTTTTTTCTCTTTCTCACACACACAACGTTCACTTGAACACCCCATATAGCTGCTGTGTAATGGATTCTGACTGGCAGGAGGGCAAACAAAACCGCTGGAGGACTCTGTATCTACACTGATTCAGTGGTCAGATATTGGATATGGCGGGGCAAAGTGGACTGTGATTGGCTGAAAGTTTTGGGTTGACCTCGCATACCATTTGGCACTGAATGTGTTAAAGACAGCCGTCAGCAAAATCCCAGCTCAAGGTCACGAGGTAAGACGAGAAGGGGGGGGTGGGAGTGAAAGTCAGACTGAGGCAGAGACAGATAAAAAGATAGAGAGAAACAGAGTGAGTTGAATTGAGGCCACCTCCCTCTCTCCTCTCCTCTACTCACAATGGGGCTTGACAGTTGTTTCTGTTCCTTTGTGATGGATCTGCACACAAATCAAATTCTGGACAGGGTCATGGGGTCGGCTCTGGAGGACACCATATCAGAGGCGGGGTGGGTGTGAGTAGGAAATGACAGGTGTAGTAACAGTTAGGATATGACCAGTGTTGGGCTAGTTACTCAAAGAATGTAATATATTACTCATTACTAGTTATTCCTTTCAAAAATAATATTGTTACTTTACTTATTACTTTCTGGCAACAGTAATTAGTTACACTACTAGTTACATTACTTTTTCTTCATGCCCCATAGAAGTTGTAACTGTGTATCTTCCACATAAAATTCTTCTAGAATTTTACTAACAACATATTTCTGCCTCATCATTTGACCAAAATCCACATTGGATCGCAGTCAGAAGTTATTACAAACACTCAATAGTGATTGATAGTGACGTTCAAGTAAAAGTGTTTTATTAATCTCATTAATTGTGTAGCTTGAAGCTAATTGTAGTTTCTCTGTTGCATATACGATTATATTTCATTGTATTTTATCAAATCACACAAGTTTGTAAGAAACGGTTTCATTTTCCAAAAAGATTTTTAATTATAGTAATATAATGTACCACATGCTGATCAGAGGGATGTGGGTGGGATGTAATGCCAGAGTAAAGTAAAGCCACAACTTGCACAGTGTTCAGATCATCTTTTTGCCTGACAAAATCAATATAATGCAATATTTCGATCTGCTGAATGTAAGCTTTTCCATATTCCAAGCTTACCTGCTGCACT